CCCGCCGCCCGCCCCCAACGACTGCCTACTCTTCGTTATGAAAAAGTAATTAACGTGGCAAAAACGACAGGACCACCGCCACCCGCCGCGCGAAAACCGTCTTGGAAAGTGCGGAAAACGTGGCGGTGAGGAATTCCAATCGCGGCCGGAAACTTGGCAATTATAATTTTTTTTCTCCCCTCGAGGCTCATCATCCGCGAGGATGGCCCATGATGGAGTGGCTGGGTCCGGGGGTGCCGTGCGAGGACCCGGGCCAGCAGCCGGCTAACTACTGGGGGCACATTACTAGTCACGCTCCCCATGAAAGGGAAAGAAAAGAATGAAAAAGAAAGAAAGCGAAAGTTTGTGCGGCCGTACTTGACTTACGAGGGGTGAGCGCCAGGCGCTTGTCGCCCGCCCTCAGGCAGCCTTCGTAGAACTGGCCTATCTTGTCGAAGCGCGTGCCGGAGGCCTTCTCCAGCAGTCCTGGAAGCACACAGAGGTCGTCGTCAGTGTCGTTGCCGAGGGCCTTCACTCAAAAAGCTCAGTGTACACTCTCAGAAAAAATCACGAAAAAATGAGAAAATGATCATGAAAACATCACGAAAAAATCAAGGAAAAGTAAAAGAGAATGAGTAAAAGGAAAAAAGAAAAAATCAGAAAAAAATCAAGAGAAACAGAAAAATTGGTCGTTGCGAGCGCAGCTGCCGGCCCAGCTGGGGGGCGCAGGGCGCACTCTCACTTACTCTGCACTTGTCTCTCGATGCTGCTCTGCAGCGAGGCGACGCCGCTGGCGGGCGGGGGCGGCGAGTGGCGCGGCGAGCGCCGGCCGAGGGTGAGCTCGTCCTCCTCCATCCACGGCAGCGGAGCGGCCGCGGCGGAGGCGGCGGCGGCAGCGGCGCGCTCCTGGCTCTTGGCCATGTTGCTGAACGAGCTCCAGGGGATGCGGCTCCACGCCTTCTCCTTCGAGTAGCTCCAGTCCCCGCACGAGAACCTGTCACACCACGTCGCTCGGGGGTAGGTTCACGTTGTGTGGCGGACCCTCAAGGTCGGGTCGGACACCCAGTCTTTACCCATTTCCCCCCCGCCCCCCTTTACCCCTCTGGCGCTCGCCACTTGGTTTTACTCCGCGCGCGCTTCAAAGCGCCCGACGACGAAGGGGTAGGCCTCATGCGCAGCGTCTGGGGCCGGCGGGCCTGCCTACCTACCGGGGGCTTTGGGGGCGCGCCCATCTGCAGCCCCGAGGGGCCAGGGGGAACCCACCGCGCCGCCCGCTCCTCCTTTCGCTCCTGCCTCTGCTCCTGCTCCTGCTCCTGCTCCTGCTCCTGCTCCTGATCCCGCTCTTGCTCCCGCTCTTGCTCCCGCTCCCGCTCATCCCGTTTTCGCCTCCCCACGACCAGAGCCACCTCGTCCACCTGCAGGCCTCGGGCCTGGAGCCTGGAGCACCGGCCGAAAGGAGTGCAAATCTGATTGGCCACGTCGCGCCAATTCAACTGGCTGGAGCTTCATTTGCATGGTGAAATTGCCTGTGAGATGGAGAGGAGCGGCTGGCCGGGCCGGGAACGCCTGCAATTGTCGGGTGGAGCAGCAGCAGGCAGCAGACAGCAGGCGCCAAGGTCTGGAGGAGAAATATTTTCTCAAGGAAGCGCCACGAGAGGCAGACCTGTCGGTCTACCATAGCACAACACAAGGTCGCACGGGATGACGTGGAAACAGGTGAAAAAAGCAGATGAGTTTTCATCTCTTTGCCCGAGAATTTGCACTACGTTTTTTTTAGCGTAGCGTGTTTAGTGTACTTTCTATTTTACTTTATTTTTAAACTAAGTAAGGCTGGGTGCGTAACGGCGTGGAAGAGAATGCGCCAACTGAATCCGAGCCGAGATCTGCGCCTGCTGATCTGCCGAAGACACGCACAAACAATACAGCGCGCGCACACATGCACGCGCGCGAACAGCAAACAAACAAAAGAACAAACACACTCGCACCAGCGCACACGTGCACACGGCCCTCGCGGAGTGTGCGCGGCAGCGCGGCCCTCGCGGTACTCACTGGTAGAAATCGTCGCACGGCTGCACCGAGTGGTTTAGCATGGAGCCAATCTTCTTGCCCATGAGGCGGCAGATCTCGCTGGTGCACTCTCTGAAGCCGCCCTTGCAGCCGTCGGAGTCCTGGTGGCCAAACAAATATCCAAAGTGAGGTTCACGAATAATGTTTTACTGTAATGCCCCGGGGGGGAAAAGAGGGGGAG